ACTTAAATGAAAAAATATTAAGTGAGAGGTGGATTGACTAATATTTATAGTATTAAAAGACCAAGAGAGTCCAGGAAAATGGAAAGGATGAGTTAGAGCCTAAAACATAGATTTTTGTGGCCCCAAGAAACTCTGAATTTAAGGAAAGCCTCTACAGTGAAAATTTCCTATGCTGTAGCATAGAAGTAAAGATAGATTCAAGCTTTAAGATGAAAAAAAGACACACACACACACACACACACACACGTATGTTTTGAATCACTAAAATGAAAGCATAGGAGAGAATTCAAAAACAAACAGCATCCCTGACCTACTAGAATCTGTAGCCTGGCTTTGACCTGCCTGCTAAGTGCTCCAGCCACACTGACTTCCCCCAGTTCCTTGGGTGCCCCTTGCTCCTTTCTGCCACAAAGTCTCTTCATATGTGCTTTCTCCGCCCGCACCCTCTTCTCTCTCTTTCCCCAACCACTGCCCTCTCCCACTTTGCCTAGTTAACTGCTCTGGATCCTTTACATCTCAGGTTAAACTGCTTTCTCATTCTGACCAAGTCAACCCTCTATCAGAGACACTCTCCCTACAAGCACTTCCAATCACCACTTTGCGTTTCTTCACATGGTTTTCTTGATCAACCTCACCTTCCCCCTCCAAACTATAAGCTCCATGATGGCAGGCTTGAACTCTAACACCTCACTCCTCTTCCCCTAGCACCGTGGTCGGCAAACTGCGGCTCGCGAGCCACATGCGGCTCTTTGGCCCCTTGAGTGTGGCTCTTCCTAAGCCTTAGGAGTACCCTAATTAAGTTAATAACAATGTACCTACCTATATAGTTTAAGTTTAAAAAATTTGGCTCTCAAAAGAAATTTCAATCGTTGTACTGTTGATATTTGGCTCTGTTGACTAATGAGTTTGCCGACCACTGCCGTAGCACCACCTAACACACTGCCTGCCATACAGCAGGTGCTTAACGAATCGCTCATAATTCTTTAATGAGTGAATGAATGAACCTGTTAATTTCATTCACCTTAGTCTCCCTTGGATTTGTCTTTCTTAAAACAGTTAACAGTAGTTTGAAAAAGTCCTCTGATAAAGAATGCCACTCTGTAATTTTCACTCTGTATTACACCTGAGATGATTTTCTCCCTCCAGTTTGTTGGTTTGTTAGGTAGGAAGGGATCATAAAGGTCCCCTAGGGCCGTGGTCGGCAAACTGCGGCTCTCGAGCCATATGCGGCTCTTTGGCCCCTTGAGTGTGGCTCTTCCACAAAATACCACGTGCGGGCGCGCACGTACAGTGCAATTGAAACTTCGTGGCCCATGCGCAAAAGTCGGTATTTTGTGGAAGAGCCACACTCAAGGAGCCAAAGAGCCGCATGTGGCTTGCGAGCCGCAGTTTGCCGACCACTGCCCTAGGGCATTGGCAAAATGAAGGTACAATCAAGGACCAAAATCAACCTTATTTTTCTCTAGGCCCTAGAGCAGCCGTGGGCAAACTACGGCCCGCGGGCCGGATCCGGCCCGTTTGAAATGAATAAAACTAAAAAAAAAAAAGACTGTACCCTTTTATGTAATGATGTTTACTTTGAATTTATATTAGTTCACACAAACACTCCATCCATGCTTTTGTTCCGGCCCTCCGGTCCAGTTTAAGAACCCATTGTGGCCCTCGAGTCAAAAAGTTTGCCCACCCCTGCCCTAGAGTCTAGGGCTTTAGGAAAAGAGGGAAAACCTTGCACGAATGGTCCCTGGGTGTCATACTCCATACCTGATGCTTTTTATTTAAGACCATTTCCAGAATTTGGTACAGTGAGTTTATTTAATAAATTGACAATCACTCCTATCTCTAGATAGATCCTCGATCTCTAGATATTTTAATGGTACCATGGTCTTATAAGAAAAATCAGCACTGTGAGGTCTAAGTGGTATACTGGTGAATAAGTATTACAATTAGAGTTGGAATTTTTAATATAATTTTTATATTCAGCTAAAATTGCTTCTTTAAAAGGTATGTCTGATATCTTGGCAATTTCAAAACCATCTACCAAGATTATTCTTCATTGGAGATTGGAGTATGTTTTCTCCTAGTTAGTGTTCAATGGACAATAGCATGACTGATAAGGTAATTTTAGGAAGTGGCAGGGAACTTGGGTCAGGCAGAAAAGGAAACTTAAAAGATAGCCAGGAAAATCAATAAATGATTACTATTTCAGAAAAGATGACTCTAAATTATTTTAAATTAATTCTAAAAACTGTATCACACCTGAGATTTTCTCCCTCCTCCACTTTGTTGGTTTGTTTGTTTTGGCAATGAGTTGAGAAAATATATGAAGGACATCCAGATGTGCTTATAGTATTAAAGGTGGGCTATCTGATGCCTTTTCTTGAACTAAGTTGGAGGTAGTCAGCTATTTCTCACTCTAAGAAAACACAGGTAAGTAGAATTCCCTGCAAGGACATTTGATCCCTGGGAGACTTGAAGCCCTGGCGTGCCAGAGCCTGAACTTCATTCTAGAAAAGCTTTTGGCTCTTGGAAAGGCTTCGGATAGATTGATTACAAGAGTATGTTCTGCCGGCTCTGAAGTCAAGGTCACATTAACTAGTAATTGCAAACATTTAAAGGATAGTATGAATGGTATCTAACTGTGTCTAGGTGTTTAGAGTTTGTGTTACCCAAATTTTATATTATGATTAATAAATATTATTAATTTCTTTTTTTAAAAATCTTAAGATAAATGTATTATGGAGGACAGACACATTCTATATTCCTTTTATCTATAAGCCTCCTGATGGAAAGTTCAGCTTGTCATACCACAAGTTCACATGCATTGCAACATAATGCCTTACAAGGAGATGAATTGCCTCTGGAAAGTGAGGTTGTACCCAGTGCTATGAAGGGAGATATTGCCATGGCAGTTAAGAATGCTAGATGCCCTATAAAGTGGATTCGAAGAGAATTTTGTTCCATGGTATTCACTTTATTGGTGGCTGTTGGCCTGGGAGCTGTGAATAATGGCCAGCAAAAGCATCTCACCTTTGCGACAGCGTGCTGACCTCTAAACAGCACAGGATGGGAGGGCTGATTTCACTGGAGCCAACAAGAGAAGTGCCCATGGAGCAGCACACACAGAAGGCGCTCTGGCAGGAGGGAGGGAGTGTAGCAGGTTCCGTGGGTAGAGTACTGTCCTCTCGTCTTGCTTGAACTGTCAGTGACTCTCCCTTTACCAACATCGCAGTGGCTTGCAGGCTAAAACTCAAACTAAACTTGGAAATAGCCAGTCCAATTCACTCAGATTTTAGAGGTTAAATCCAAGACGTAGAAACTGTAAAAGACTCTGCCCACCCTATTTCTGTATTTCTGTTTAAATGCAGTGTGGGGCTTGGTAGCCCTTCACGGCTGTGAAGACCTGTGCATGCATTTCATTTCCCAGACTGAACAGCTCTCAGATGCAAAGACAGACGTAGGAGCCCTCATGAGAGTGGCAGCCTAACTTGAGTTTCCTATGCATTATGATGAGCAAAGCATTTGTGAGTGGGAATTCAATGTTGGGGCTGCTGGGGCCCAAAGGAACCGTCTGTGGGGTACAGATTGCTCTGGGAAATGAAAGCTAACCTGACAGAGTGAATGGTGTTGGCATGCTGCATGCATTTTCCTTAATTATGTTAATTGAATCTTAAAAGGGAAGTTTTCTAGGAATAATTTGCCTATGCATGAGAACTACTTGGCCCCAGATATGATTCCTTAAAGGGTGCATCTTGCTGACTTGCTGCTAAGAGTGCTGTAATGCACACCATTTCACCGCACAGGCTCTTCATCTTCTATGTCGCCTGGAACACAAGTTCTACAGGAATGAGAAGATCCTGATTGGGAAAGGATGGGGAGAGGGGGGTAGTATGGGAATATGTCAGTGGAATAGCCGTTGTGTTTCTTCCTGAAAGTTAAATCCAGAGTCCCATGCGGACAGCTCACTGTGGCAGTATGGCATTTCCAGCCTGCAGGGACAGGGGGTCCCGTTCACTTGCTCTCCTGTCCCCAGCCACAAGGAGGAATGTGGTGCCCCCCATCCCCATGGCCTCCCTCAAGGAGCCCTCAGCATTCATCAGTCAGCTCCTTCTTTGGGGACCCCACTGACACCTACAGCACTTTTGTTTAAAATAAAAAAAGCCCACTCTGGGCTGTAGTTCTGAGCCTTATTTCTGCATAGACGGTAGACTTCTGGCATCTTTTCTTCCTTTGTTAGTAAGGCAAACCAACACCACCTGCAATCCACCGGGCTTGGATTCAGTTAACTCTCCATTTTCACGGCTCCAAGGTAATAAAAACATAAAAGAGCTCTTCACAGTTCTGTACTAAGGGCTGTTTTGTGGTAGAGAACGCCTTCCTCTTTACAGTGTGGGCAGGGCTAACAGGAGTAGCCCCATTCTACACAGAGAAGTCCTCCTTTCTCAGTTCATAGTCCCAAACTCACTGGGGACAGCTGCTCTCTGTAGTTCTCAACACCATCCGGGGGCATATGCCAGGGACCTCCCAGCTCCTGTTCCAGCCTTTCGGCACTAGGGACTTTTCAGTTCTTCCCACTGTTTACCCGGCCTCTGTCAAACACAAACACTCATGAACACCCGTGCTCCAAACAGACCAAGTTCTCAAGGTAGCATAATTGTGCCTGTTCCCTTACTATGCCAAACTTTTTTCTCTTTCCTTTCTGTGTACAAAGCTCCCTTTGAAGTAAGGGATCTTTTGTAACAGAGACAGAGCTCTGCATAATGTGGAATATTAAAGCTAACAGCTTTCTCTTTATGCACTCCAAACACAGGGAGATGATAATCTCTCCCACGAACATAGACGTAAGAATTGTAGCCTTCTACTTTGGTTGGGGGAAAGAAGATTGGTTATAAAACTCTTCTGAAGTTTGTGTTGATGAATTCATTTCTTCCCCATTGCTTGTTATTAAAATGTAAGTGTTGAATTTAAACTCCAATTTAACACAATTTTTGCTCTTCCTGCAGCACCTGAAATTCTTAGAGGCTGCGCCTACGGACCTGAGGTGGACATGTGGTCTGTAGGGATAATCACCTACATCCTGTAAGTGAAGAAAAGCAATCTTCATGCAAACTGTCTGCCTTTACTGTAATATTCGCTAAGTACTCACGGGCCTCATAAAAAGCAAGATTACTTTTTTACTTTTTGTGATTTTTTACAACATACTAAACATACTTAGTGATATAATTTTCTGAAATTGAGCATTGCTTTTTATTTTGTAATTTTCTTGGGGCCAGTACTCTTGTCCAGGGCTTTCTGTGTCTCATTCTGCTATGCAATGCAAAGCAGATTTGGGGAACAATTCATTATTTGGTGATAATAATGTATGTGAAACTCGTGTTCATTTATTTTAAATGCTGTTATTTTACCTATTTGCATCTTGTCAAAATAATTATGGTATTAGTCCTTTTTAAAGGGCAAACAGATATTTAATCTCTTAAGCAACCCCAAACTGGGACATTTCCCATCAGAAATGTCTTAAATGCATTTTAGCTATCAGTTTTATTTCCTTTCTCTGTTAGGTTCTCAAGGCCCTGAGTTTAATACCGTAAACTCTGAGAAACATTAGGTAGGAAAAAAAAATGGGCTAAATCTCTCACTCTCTGGTATCCCCAATTCCATTCTTGAGCTCCTTCTATCAATAAACAAGGGGTTTTAGGAAACTTGCCAAAGAGATGATGGAATTGCAGATGAATACAGGGGAAATAAGAAAGAATGATAGAAGAGCACTGAGCCAAACCGGTTTCGGCTTAGCTATCAGTTTTATTTCCTTTCTCTGTTAGGTTCTCAAGGCCCTGAGTTTAATACCGTAAACTCTGAGAAACATTAGGTAGGAAAAAAAAATGGGCTAAATCTCTCACTCTCTGGTATCCCCAATTCCATTCTTGAGCTCCTTCTATCAATAAACAAGGGGTTTTGGGAAACTTGCCAAAGAGATGATGGAATTGCAGATGAATACAGGGGAAATAAGAAAGAATGATAGAAGAGTGAAGAATGTGCCTACAACAGCAAAAAAGCAAGATATCAATGAGTTCCAGAATTTAATTCAAAACAAGCAGATTTGGTTGCCATTTAAAGGATACTGCAAGGTTAATTGTTGGAACCTATAATATTCAATTCTGTAAAGGGATTTTAGAATTGTATATTGTCAGGTCAGCCTGCCATAATAAAATACCACAGACTGGGTGGCTTAAACACAGACATTTATTCCCACAGTTCTGGAGGCTGGAAGTCCAAGGTTAAGGTGCCAGTAGGTCGAGTTCTGGTGAGAGTTTTTTTCCTGACTTGTAGACAAACACCTTCTCACTGTGTCCTCACATAGCAGAGAGAGGAAGCTAGCTCTCTGGTGCCTCTTCTTAACATGGTACTTATTCCATCATGAGGTCCCACCCTCATGATCTCCTCTAACCCTGATTTCCTACCAAAAGCCTCATCTCCAAATCCTATCACATTGGTTAGGGCTTTAATACATGAATTGGAAAGGGGACACAATTCAGTTCATGGAAGAAAGAGGGCTTTGTTTTGTTTTGTTCTTAATTTGATACTGATCTTAGAAATTGCAGTGTCTAGGTAATATGGCTAGGCATGGGGTGACTGGGGTCAGACCCCCAACCAAGTTAGTAAACTCTGAGCATAGACATTGGTCAGTAGCCAAGACTAAAGGGTCAATAAGCAACCTATAAGTAGCCGGAGGCGATTATGTGATGTCCAAAGGTATTTCCTGAATGTATTGAAGCTTCAGAAGATTTGGAGAGGCAGAGACCATGTTTTTTCTTATGAAAGTGAAAAATGTTAGGTAATTTTGTTTGCCACACTAAGTTCTTAATTCATTAACATGAATTCCTAAGACCACATGATAGAATTCCTAAATTCCTTCAGCTTATATTTGAGATCACTTTTATATTGGGAAAGAATATTGTCTCCTGAATTATGGAGGTGGCATATCATATTTAGTGACATTAAGAGAAAAACTGAACTATACAAATAATGATTCCTATTTGCCCCTAAAATGTAACTATGCCCACCCAGTTACAATTTCATGTTGAAATGTTATGGGAGGGGTTAAAGCATTAAGGATGTATAAGAACTCAGAGAGATGGAAGTAGGAAATTAAGTTACAGTCACCCTGAAAAAATGAAATATGGAATGACTATAACTCCATGGTATGGTCACTGACAAGGAGAAATGAAGAGAAAAATCTGTGATCATTTGAGACCCATCTTATTATAGCCTTGAAAATAATTTTAATTGTCCTTTCCCCTAGTTACTTAAGGTCATTAATTAATAGGTGTTGGTTGAAAGTAGCAGCAGGAACCCCCAGAATGAAAATAAGATTGCTGCTTACAACAAATATCCCTTAATTTTGGTCTAACTCCTGTCAGCCTGGGGGCCTTTATTTTTTATGTGCCCCAGGCATGAAACGCTCTGGCCACCCACAGAGGCATCAGCTAGGATGAACCCAGGACTGTACATCTGCTTGGCCCCTGACTGATATAAGAGCAACACCACCCATCAGGTGTCTCCTTCCCCATTGCCAGGGGGTCTGGGGACTTTTCATGTATCTGTAGCTCATTAATAATTGGTGAAGTCTACCTGGGGAGGTTCACTGGAACATTTTCTCCAGGGAACTGTGCCCTTGGACCTCTGCATCTCCTTTATTATCATTGAAAGTTCCGCCAGGCCATTTTGTGTTATGACCTCGCTATTTCCAAGGATGACAGTAGGCTGGAAATGAAGGCCATGTTGTTGTTTCTCACAGGAATTCTGGTCCCTCTACCTTTACAACTAAACTCTTTTTCCCACAGACAAAAACAACTACTACAATGCTGAGGTCAGAGTCAGAATCAGATTAACGTCAGAGATTCAAACGCTCCTTCAGCTTTCAACAAGGCACTTCTGCCCAGTGTCTTGGAGCCATTGTACTATACATTCACACATCAGGCCAGTGTAATCGTAGCACCCTCTTAAGTGGTCCTTGTCAGCAGTCTCATTTTCCCATTTCTAAAGGGTTTTTGACGTGTGTGTGTGTGTGTGTGTGTGTGTGCACTCTGCGTGTGTCACATTCCTTTCACTTTTGGCACTTCAGGCTGACATGACATAAACTTTTTACCTCTGTCACCAATGCACAAATTTGCTGACATGATTGAAATGAAAGAAAGGCGTTTGAGTACTGTACCTTCTGAACTGTCATTTTTCTCTCTAGATTTCCAGGAAACACAAGCTAAACTAAACCTGGAAAGTTGGTTAATTTCTCCATGACTAACCAACAGGCTATTTTTCTAAGGTTGTGGAGGGCCAGGTAAGGCTGGGCTGCCTCCTTGTCAAGGTGTGGACATGCGCTCCCTTCTCTCCTTAGGCTGGAGTCGGATCCTCTGTGTGGGCACTGCAGTGGGAGAGGGGAGTGCATGGCCTGGGCCACAGCACCTCTGGCCTTGCCTTTGCCTGGCTGCTCCTGAATGTTTGAAAAAACAAAGACTCTCCCAAAGGGATGTTCCCAGAGCAAAGGGTCGTGCGGAATTGTTTCTTCTTAGAAACCCATTATGTTGGGATGCAAAACATTTCATGCTCTGCACCAATCTGGCCAGGAAGAATTGGGGGAAATGTTTTTTAACTTATTCATTCTTCCCCCTTCCTTGCCCCATTCTCTGTCAAATGCAACACATGCCCTGACAGGGATTTTTTTTTATGGTTTCCTTTTGGTGCCTAGTGATTTCAGAACCTTCACCATCTAGAAACAGTGGAGGCTTCGTGATCCTGGACCTGGAGCTCACTTTTCCTCTCTCTCTCTTTGGGATGCCACAGGTGGTTCTCCATTTCTTTTCTCCCACTTCCTCCATTCTTTTTTTTTTTCCTGACCCTGCTGTGGAAAATGAGTGGGAACATAGTGAAATGTCTGTAAAATGTACAACAGCGAGGTTCTCATACAAGGTGGAAGAGACTCTAGGCTGCTCATCTCTGTTGGTTGCATCTATCTGTTCACTGTATGAAGTTTCAAAAGGCCATTCTCCAACAGTAGTTTTAGCTCCTGTCTTTGTTCACTCTGAAATCCAAACTGGAATGCAGTGGAAATATAATGCTTATTTATATGTAGGAATTCAGTGGATAGGGCTGAATAAAAATGACTGAAAAATCTTTTCTTCCCACCTTTAAATCTCTTTATTCTCTAAATCCTAATTCTTCCACCTTGTAATAAACTGGAACTCTATAATCAATCACTGTCTTCTCGATTCCTGGAGATAAAATTCATGGAGAGTCATGAGCATGGTGCTTATAATAATGTTAGCTATTTCATAGGTGTTTTGTGTCATAATTAATAATATTAGTATAACTGTTCTTAGAAATCTTAAGTTGGTTTTGCATCTATTCCTACTTCCTGACAACATGATTGTGTGTTTACACACTCAAAGGCAAATTGTAACAAGGCAATTTCATACCTGTGCTGAGTAGACTTGCATTCATAACAGGAAGCTGTGAGAAAGAACAATCTTGAAATTTCTGCAAAAATATTGGTAAAAGATACTTAAGTTTTGAAAGACATTTTATTCTCTATCTTTTGTCCCTCTAGACTTTGTGGATTTGAACCATTCTATGATGAAAGAGGCGACCAGTTCATGTTCAGGAGAATTCTGAATTGTGAATATTACTTTATCTCCCCCTGGTGGGATGAAGTATCTCTAAATGCCAAGGACTTGGTAAGTGTGATCAAAACAAAACAAAATAAAATCCCTCACATTCATTTTTAGCTTACTAGTGGGCAGTGTCATTTGTAAAATTTGCCCCTCTTAATATCTTATTTCTTTATAATTATATTTTTAATAAAACAATGCAAGCTAATAAATTTTCTTTATACATAATGAAAAATAGATATGTTTGACTCATTATTAGCTGAGTTATCACAGATTACAAATTACTACAGTATTAATTATCTTTTCCCACTTAGTCAATGTAGAGCCTTGCTTATGAAGACAGATGTGCTAGGTGAATCTAAGCATAATTTACACAGAAGAATTCTGTTTTAACATGGCTGGCTATTACCTAGATTTGGTTGTATTTAAACTAAAACAATATTCTTTTCTTAAAATGTTTAAACTTATTAAAATATCCTGATACTAACACAAGTCCCACCATGCATCATTGGCATTGTAAATAAGTTACACTGTACTAGCAGTGCATTTTGTTTGCTTTTTGTTGTTGTTGGCTTGATTTACTTTGCTTGTCACTTAGGCTTATATTGAAGTTTGTTTGCATTCAGGAAATGAATGGGGAGATGGCCCACCAGTTCTAAAATAAAGAGGATACTAGCATGTAATTAAACATTTACCATCAATCCTCTAGAAAAAAATTATGCAGAAATTACTAAAAGCTGACTTTTAAGTCACAGAAATTAGATCTCCAAGGGATCTAAGATGACTTCCCTTCATTTAAAAAAATGTATATTTTTTTTATTGATTTCAGAGAGGAAGGAAGAGGGAGGGAGAGATAAAAACATCAATGCTGAGAGAGAATCATTGATTGGCTGCCTCCTGCACACCCCACACTGGGGATCAAGCCCCACAACTTGGGCATATGTCCTGAATGGGAATTGAACCATACCTCCTGGTTCATAGATCGACGCTCGACCACTGAGCCACACGGGCCAGGTGCTTCCCTCATTTTTAAGATGAATGTGCTAAAGCCCAGAGAAATGAAATGACTGTCCAAGGTCATATAGCTTCCTAGCAAAAAGTCATTGTCAGGAACTAAAGAATCAGGTTTCCAGACCCCTCATCCAAAGCTTTTTTTCCCTCCAAACATTTTCTCTTTACCATCCACATTCTTTCATGAGGCAGATCCCCTATAGGCCGTGACTTTTCCAGTGTGCCTAGGTGGCGAGGGAGTATGTGTGACGTGTGGATGTGTCATCCCAATTTTGCCCTCACGTCAGGCCCCACACTCCTAAACATCTCTTGAATCCATCCACTTCTCTTTACTGCCACCACCACTGTCCAACCCACGCTCCAATCTCTCCCACTGGACCACTGTCACAACCTCCTCTCTGATCTTCCTGCCTCTTCTCATGACCTTCACTACACAGGATCCACAGGTATAATCTTGTAAATAAATCACATCATGTCAAGTCTCTTAGGATAAATCCAAGCTCCATAACAAGATCTACTCACATCGCCTGGTCTGGAGCCTGTCACCCTCTCTCATGCCACTCATTTCCCCTCGCTTTCCTTTGGTCTCTGCACTCCAGTGCACCAGGCTTCCAGTCCTTGCAGCTCTGGATTCAGGTCATTGTTCTCTCTTCTGCCTTGTAATGTTGTTTCCTGTTTCCTCCATTCTTCCCCCTCTTCCTCCCCATCATCTCTCTCTCTCTCTCTCTCACATACACACACACACACACACACCTCTTGCAGGGGTAACTCTTATCTTCAAGCCTTAGCTGTCATTTGACATCCTCGGGGAGGCTTAGTCTGCCCCCCTTTGGCAGTCCCTCCTCCTTCCTTTGCTAAATTATTCTTTTGCCCCTAGACTTCCTCTTTCATGATAGTTACCACTTATATTTACTTGTGCAAAAGCCTTCCTTAAACTTTGGAAGAGGATCAAACATATGTGCCCAGATCTTAGTGCCATATGGACATGTAATACAGACTATAAATGTTTACTGGATGAAACAATGAATGAGGACAGAGACCATGGATTTTTAAAAATTGGATACAGCTAGATTTAAGTGCCCCTTTCCTCACAACCTAAAAGTATAGCCTTGGGCTTGTTATATAACCTGTTTATGATTTAGTTTTCTTATCTGGGATGACACTGGTACCTATCTCTAGATTGTTGGGAGACTTAAAGGATATAATACATGCTAAGTAACCACCACCAACTCAATAATAGTTCTTTTATTTAGCCCTCCTTTCATATTTTTTTATCCCTTCCAAAATTAAATGGATAAGAGCATTAGTTAGTAGTGATGTTTCTTCAGTTAACTAAATTCTGTTAGTCAATAAATTTATAAAGCTTCAGAACTACAGGAATCCTGAATCTGTACTTACTAGCAGAACCCACATCTGTTCTGTCTTCAACAGAGGCAACAGTGCCAATGAGGGGGGAGTCAGGTTGTAAGGGGGCTGTAGAATATTTGTAAGGTTTGGGTTTGAAACCTGGATCTCTCTGACCTTCTGCAAGTTTCTTAATAATTCAGTGCTTCAGTATCTTCAAATGTAAAGATTAATGCTTGTATATGTAAATATTCAGTACCTATTGTCTTTCAATAAATTCTTTGTATTTTCATGAGGAAGAGAATGGTAATCATGAGGAAGAGGAAAAGGATGATGGGAAAATGGGAGGAAAATATCTAATTGTCAGGGATATTGTTAAAGAGTAGGCATCATTTACATAAAAAGTATTAGTTCACCTGTTCAACAGATGATAGCTATGACTAGTATCAGATTTTTATTTATTGCTGTGCATTCATTTTCTTAATCATCTGTACCTCCCTCCACCTCCTCCCAGATTTTAAGCCTAAGCAGTCTCATGTCTTTGCCCTTTACAAATTCAGTGTTTTTACCCCAAATACACATTTCTTTGCATATTTTACAGAAAAGCAAAAGGTGAAGTGGATATTTATACTTCATTTGACATGCTGCATGATTTTGTTAGCCTGTGTTCAGTTCTTAGATTATTAGAGTTAGAAAAGACCTCAGACCTTAAATCATTCAAAGTTCCTCATTTTACACCCGAGTAGACCAAAGGTCAGAGAAGTTGACTGCCTGGGAGGCACTACTGTGTAGTGACCACAAGATGAACTCTGAGGTAGCACAGACCTGAGTTTGAATACATTTTCCACCAATTACAAGTTGACCTTAGACAAGTCACTAAATCTTTCTGAGCTTCCTTCCATCCCTCCTTTATGAATTAATAAGGTTATGCAAAGGATTATATGTGTTTTTAAAATTATATATATATATGTGTGTGTGTGTGTGTATATATATGTGTATTGAAAAAACTGACATGGAGGCCTGCCTACCTCAAGCAAACGCCCCTTGTCAGATGGGCGTGTCCTCTGGGCAAGGCTCCAACGTCGCCTAGATATGCAGTTAGAATTGAGATCAGCTTGGGGGAAAGTGCCAAACTGCTGTTCCCTGAGCTATGGGAGAGCGGGCCTAAGCCATCAGTCGGACATCCTTAGTGCTGCTGTGGAGGCGGGAGAGGCTCCCACTACTGCTGCTGTGCTCGCCAGCCATGAGCCCAACTTTTTTTTTATTATATAGGATGAATGGATTTACAAAGGAAATGAGATCATATAACAAAAGGGCCTAGGAGAGTGTTCATCGGCACTCAATTCACAGTAGGTCTTTGTCTAGGGTCACAACAGTTGGAGACATAAGTAGGGCTTGAACATGCCTTCTGACTTCAAATAGTCTCTGACTCATTCCAGATACCTCCCTTCTTAGCCTTATTTGGGTTGTTGATCTTCCTGGCAATTTATTGTCTGTTCTTTCTCAGAAGTAGGGGTAAACCTCCCAGAATAGGCTGCCATGGCTGGATTCGTTCTTAAAACAAATCATGTCCCCAAGCCACTACCACCTTACTTTGATTCTAAATAGGCTTTTACCCCTGCACTCTGTTTATTTCTTCAAGTATCCCCAAAGGATTAGAGAGAACCGTAAATGTATGCATTGTGGCATAATCATAAAGGCTATGATACTATCCCATTTTTGTCACTTAATCCCCACAGAATGAATGATGATGAGCAAATGATTCCATCTTCACTGAGACGTGTTTGAAGTTCTGAATTCTAAGTGATGTGAAGTGCAGCCTAGTATTATTCAGATGCCGGTTCTCCTTGAAAGAGCTTACACTCCACAGGCCAGCCAGGACCTGTTTCTTTGACCTCTGTTGGAAAGTCTTCTCACAGTTTGGGCTCTCAGGTGGCATACACCACTGTCTTTTCACTCCCTCAGCTACCACTGCCTGAAGCCATTCTTACCCATGGTGGTCTCTAATAGCTTTAAAAAATGTTTTTTAAGTATATTCAGTGGTAACGCTAGGGAAACAGAATCAGACCTAGAAGTTCACAAACTGAGGGGCAAGCCTAAGTCACCATAAAAATCTCCTCTGGCTCTTTGTCACTTCAGGTCAGGAAATTAATTGTTTTGGATCCTAAGAAACGGCTGACTACCTTCCAAGCTCTCCAGCACCCATGGGTCACAGGCAAAGCAGCCAATTTTGTACACATGGATACTGCTCAAAAGAAGCTCCAAGAATTCAATGCCCGACGCAAGCTTAAGGTAAGATGGCATTTGACTTGTTTGTTTGTTTTAAAGATGTCTCCCTTATCTTGAACTACCAAAGACAATTCCACCATTCTTCATCTAATACTATTATTCATCTCCTGTGGTAACAGGAAAATCCTGCTTTGAGATCCCAACCATGCTGGCATAAAACCACTTACAGTCTTAAATTATCCGTGATAGTAATTTTTTGTTAACAAAGGGAAATGTCTTGTATATTGAGATTTACTCACCAAATACATTATCACTGCTTCTCATTTACTTAAAGCTGACCTGCTTAAATGGCATTGCTTAGGAAACTGATATTTATTCAGAAAGTTGTCTTCTTCCTGAATATGTGAATATTGGGAAACAATCTTTAAAAACTATGTTTTATAGTATAGATAAATAATTAGCATACTTGGTAAAAATTTAAAAAATTCAAATGACATAGAAAATTATCCAGAGAAATATATCTATTTTTATAAGACATATGTGGAATAGAGAAAATAGCTTTTCTCTTATATATTGGTGTTTAGGACCAGCTATATATACAAGGATTTTAGAGAATAGCTGGGGGCAAAAAATGGTGCTCTACTCAGACATCACTTATAAGCTGATACTAAATAAACCTGAAGGGTTTCATGGTTAAACTAATTTAAAATACTCTGGATTAAATAACCTTAACTTAACTCGGGATTTCTCAAATAAATCTGACCATGGAACTCTTTTATCCCTATAACCTCTATTATAATACATCTATGGAACCAATGTTTCATGAAACGAATACTTTGGGAAACACACTCTAAAATTTTTAAAAACTGGTAATCCATGGACACATTTACTCGGACTTTCAATTGTCCAGATAATTGAATACACAGACCGGTTTAGGATTAAAGAGATTTTTCTGTTATTTCTCCAAACGAGTTTCCATATAACAATCTTGGTATAATAATATTTTGAAAGATTGAACACTAACATAAAAAGCAAACTTCCTAAATGCAAAGTTGAGATTGGGCTCTAGTTTGGGATTTTCAGTGGAGGTGACACCTGACCCTTCTGTTTCCAATCAGGCAGCAGTGAAGGCCGTGGTGGCCTCCTCCCGGCTGGGCAGTGCCAGCAGTAGCCATGGCAGCATCCAGGAGAACCAGAAGGCCAGCCGAGAGCCATCTCCAATCCACGATGGCAGTGAAGCTGTTGTTGAAGCTGTTCCAAAAGAGAAAGTTAAAAAAGCTGAAGAAGAAAATCAAGATGCTGATACAAAGGATGCTGAGGCCAACTTGATGGTGCCCAAGGCACTAGAGGATGGGACAGAGGTGGCTGACCCAGAAGTAAAGGAGGGTCCAGCAGAGGAGCAGCTGAACATTGTGAAGGAAGCAGCAGACCCTAAAGAAGAGCATGAAGAGCCTGCTCTGGGATTTGGAGCTGAGCAGAATGATGTGGTCCTGCCAGAGCACTAAGCTGGCTTCCTTCCAATCTGGAAGCCAACTCCCGGTACTTTATACATTTCGTTCTCCAGCAAGGAAGGTGTGGAAGCATGACATGCGCTATAGTGATTCTGTTTTTGAGGTGCAAAAATATATATATATATATCAGTTGGTAATCCTAACTTCAATGCATGTGACTGCTTTATGAAAAATAGTGTCTTCTATGGTATGTAGTGGATACTTAATACCGATGAGAGTTAAATTTGAAACTATAAGTAAACACAACATTTAAAAACATGCATTTTCAGGGACCAGGAGCACACATTTGAAGTAAATATTAACCAATGGTTTTTGCTTTGAAAACCTAACCATCGGTACCCTTTGGATTTCTTCACAAGGCGATCATCTCTTTGGACTGTTCCTCAGCCAGTAGTAGGTAGTGCTCTAAGATGTATTTCTATGACATTCACATGTTACTTATCATCAGTGTGTTTCAAGTGTTTACAAGGAGATGGTTATACTTTATAGTTGTATGGCATGTGCAAAAAAATCCACAATGGTAAGAAACTGAAGCATACTTTAAGGGCCATGAAACCATATGCTCCAAAGCTTGTGTAGAGAATGCTTTTTTATTTTATCCTTAGCTGTATATTCTATATTACTAATAACCAAAAATATTCTATCTTACAATTGTTCCATTTTACAATCCTACGGAAAGTATTTTACCAATTCATCCTTCATTGCTATCTAATGAGATGTCCTTCTGATGGACAACACTTAGGGAGGAGTAAAAAATTTTAGGGAAGCCCTAGCCAGTTTGGCTCGGTGGATGGAGCATCAGCCTACGGACTGAAGGGTCCCAGGTTCAATTGGTGTTTCTATCTCTCTCTCCCTTCTCTCTGAAATCAATAAAAATTATTTTTAAAAAAATAATTTTAGCTAAGAAAAAAAGATAAGGACAGGATAAGACTAGGACTTAGAATAACAAATATTGACTCATCATTTTCCAGGTAAAATTGGATTTATTAATGAGTGTGTACAACTTTAAAGATAGGAGCATTGTTATGGATAAACTTTATAATTACCAAGTTTCAAATATTTAGGAAAATCTATCCCACAGGCTGATGCCAAAATGTCTGAATAGAGTGGGAATAGTATTTCATTAAAAGATCATTCATTATTGATTTACCAGCATAAGGAAACATTTTTGTTTATAAAGTCTTTTTTCCCCTTTCAATTGATGGTTATTTAGATATACTGCTTATAAACTAGAGATATTTTTGAAAAGCTAGTATATCTTTTTCTCACACTTGGAATGAAGTGCCCACATTTTGCAATGTAGCTTTGAAAGTGTTCATGCAATTTAGGACAGTGCAACTTTTTATTTACCTTAAACAACAAAAACAAAAGAAAGGATGAAAAAACACTGATTTTAAGTCAGACTTGAGAAGCTGTAACATTAGACTTTATACTTTACTATGATTTTTTTCCAAAAGATATTTCTTTGATTTTCATATAAACGCTTTTCCCTAATACAAATCACATTTAAATTACAAGTACCTCAGATTTATTTCATTTGAAATGAGATGAACATTTTTATGAAATTATGTATCACATTTTAGTACATTTTCATAATTTCAAAAAAGAATTACAATGTACAAAATTATTATAAAAAGTGACTATCACATAAAAATACTATTCCAAAAAAGAGATCTTAAAAAATTATTTGGGCACTTTCTCAAAGCTATTATATTGGACAATGAAATAAAATCTCTGGTTTCTGGAGTGATTGGACCTTGGCAGACATTCTGCTTTCCAAGCACAAATCTTCCTTTACTGCCATTCTCCTGAGAAGAAAACAAGGTAGGATTTCTCATCTTCCAGAGTTGAGGGGCCTGACAGGTCGATGACTTGGAGGAAAGCCCTTAAGTGAGGCACATCACCTGGGCTCAGAGAAAGACGAGTTTTGTTTTATTTTATTTTTATTAACTAGTAGAGAGTACTTATCCTCTTCTTCTCTGTTTCTTTCCATCTTCATTCTCTCTCAAAATTTCCATTACAGCTATTATAAAGGGCTCACTATTTTTAACCTCTAAGAATGCCTTTTTTAACTAAGCATTAAGATTTCCATTAAAAATGATAAATTGCCTGGTGTACTTTTTCCAGTGAGATCTAACAGGTATGTACAGTAAAAGTTCCATATATTTCAAATGGGAAGAAGAGAGGGAAAAGGGATAATATTATAGAATGGCAATTAGTTGGAAGATCAGATCATATGGTCCCTCCCAGCCACCTCCATTTTGTTCCCAAGGCAGTTCTGTCATCCAACACCCAGGGCTGACTTCAGTGGTTGGCCCTTGGACTTTAGAAACAGCGCTGTGAATGCCAGGGCCAGTGTGTATGTGAGAGTTTTACCCATTTAAATGAGTAACATGCCTATTCCTTGATGAGTTCTAGAGGGTGTAAGGGTAATTTATTTTTAATCTGTAAATTGCACTCTTTAAAAATCACTGGAAGTTTTGAATCTTGACTTGTATGTTAAAGATTAAGTTTTAATAATGCCTAAATAGTGGCTAATTTAGTCAGGTCAGAAGAAATACAACATAGGTTCAAATTATTGGGTTAACATTTTGAAAGTACTACAAACATTGATATTACCTGATGAAATGGGATAGATCATCTCTCTCAAAGATTACTTAGCTAAATAATGGCAGATAGAGCTTTTATTTTGATAAACTACTTCATAATGTTACCCCTCGTCAAATTATATTTAAAGCAAAAGAATTAAGGGAATTTCAGCAAAGAACAATAAATTATGTTTTTCATTTTAGAGCTGACAGTTATATTACATTATTGATTTTTGTTATCAGATAAATTCAGATGCATAGCATAACCTAGGTTATTTTCCCAGAAAGGACATTCTTGATCTCCACTATTTAAAAAACCTAATTGGAATTCCAGTGATTTTTCTCAAACTGTAAAGCTCATTCATTCCATGAATACATGAATAAGGTAGAAGTTAGAATAATATGGTTGAAGAAGTTATCATCTAGAACAAGTGCTGTCTAATATAAATATGATGCAAGCCACATACGTAATTAAATATTTTCTCTTAGCCACTTAAAAAACAAAACAAAGTATTAGACAAAATTAACTGTATATTTTAATCCAACATAGCCAAACTATTATTCTAGCACATCAATATGAATAATTAATATTTTAAATGTTTGTTTTTATACTGTATTCAAAATCAGGAGTATATGTTACACCTTTAGTAAATCAAGCGCTCAATAGCCACATGTGACTAATGGCTACTGTATTGGAACAGCACTGTTCTAGAGTATTTTCTAAACAAAATGACACCTGAATTTCTATGCTAGATTATTAGATTTGAGCTGCTTCCATTTTCCACACTGATGAGCTGGTAGGAAGCCAAAAGGAAAATATTTCAGACATGTCATAGCCTGAAATAAGTAAAAACTTCTGCTTAGTCACGTGCTTCAGAGGAGTGTTTCCCAGCATGACTCGTAGAGAACAATACTTTGCTGGGCATTGTTCAGTTGGACACAGTCCCTCTGATCCTTCTGGGCCCTGGAATCTTGACTATAGGCTAGTCTCTCCTGAGTACTGCCATGAACGTAGTAGTATTCTTGTGGACCCATATTTACTGTGGGTGAACCATGTGTCCCCCAGGAAGGACTGCACAGAGAATCTTAATAGGATTTTGTCAGCCTGGACTAGGCTGGCACCATCCATGTGTTGCAGGCAAGAGTTATTTCTAGAAATCTGCTAACACATACCAAATCTGAATGATGAAGATTACACGATGAGGACAATAAGCCCCCAAGTGTGGCTATGACCATCAGCTGGCTTTTTTTTTTTTTTTACATTTTCTTAGAAGGGTTTAATCAACACTGCCATTACACATGGATTCAAAAGACTTTTAGATACTTCTTACATACTGCTATTTTAGAATAATCCTCAATGTTCTATAGCCATTTTTAGTGGCAGACTTAAAAAGAAAGAACAGTTTGCCTTATACTGTGACCTCAATGACATAGCATTTTAAACATATTTTGTAATTTAGAATGTCTAGCAATCCCTATTTCCAGTTTCACATGCAAGGTAACTGCCTGGGTTGCCCACAAACTGAAGATTTAAAGAGAGCCATTTTGTTTCATAATTGTGTGTGTGTGTGTGTGTGTGTGTGTGTGTGTGTGTGTGTGTGTGTGTGTGTGTTGTTGTTGTTGTTTTTTTTTACAGAAGCATCTGGTTGCATTCCAAATTAGGGTAAAAAAAAGTAAATGCCAGAAAAGGCAAAGAGTGAAATTAGTAAACCATTTATTCTGTTTTAGGATTATTCTTGCAAAGCAAATGCAAAAAGAAAAAGTCAACAAAGTGAATTAGCACTAGGTTTTTCTTGATGAGGGTTAATTTCATATACTAGTATAATTGACATAATTACAATGCCATTATGTAATTTACTTGTCATTGCAGAGTATTCAGTATACTATTTTAGATGGTGCAAAGTTTCCAGAGGTTTACCTACATAATAGCATTTGTAATATCCTTGTAATTGCTGTGTATTAGGTCATATTCCAATTTTTTTAATACTCATCACTGATGTGTTCCTGATCAGGGTCATGGCTAACATCTGCACACTTCCTGGTTAAGTACTAAGTAATGGTTAGACTCTGTATGTATGTGTCTTCAGTGTTTTTTTAAAGATTTACGCACATGTAATCTCAATGTTGATATTATGATATTAATAACCATATGATAAGCAGAAATTTACCCAATCATTTTCTATAATTTTTTCAACATCCTTTTCTTCCCCTGGCACAACTCAGGGGAATTTTCTGATCCCTCGGCAAATAGAGAAAATAAAAGACCACTGGCGAGAAATCAGCTATCCACCCATAGTAAACAAGTTCAGCATTTCCTCTTTCTATATTTTGATTTATTAAGTGCCAGTTTTTGTCATTATTACGCCTTTCAGATATCACCTGAGATCAGATCACCTCAGCTTATAACGTCCAACCATTTATATACTTATCTTGGAGAGCAATAACACACTTGACTAATGTATGCTTCCTTGTTTAAAATTCTGGTTTTCATAAATGCTTGTGATGTACTTGAGGATGTGCTTGATTTTCAACACAGCTTTTCCTCTGTCGCCTGG